TATTATTATTATTATTATTATTATTATTATTATTATTATTATTATTATTATTATTATTATTATTATTATTATTAAAATGTATATGCCATCCCTCTCACCAATAAGGTGATTCTGGATGTCTTTTTAAAGCACTTCAAATGGTATATTTAATCTATTGCACCAAAACGTCAGAGGGAAAACAATTTACTTCTTCATATGTTTTCACTCGATAAGTGCAACATGAGTTTAAGTTATAATAATCACAAGTATTTGTGGTTATATGCTTTATAAAGGAAAATGCAAGAGACAAGTCAAGAAAATAAACCATTAAATTGAATAAATCTAAAGGACAGCTTTCTGAAATAAAGGCCGTATGGATACTGTAGCCTAAGTGGACCATGCCAGCTCATTAATGGGCTATTTTACTTTGTTATTGAGTAAAAACTCCTGAGATTGCTTTAAGGGGGCTGTGTGTGGACATTTGATGGAATAAAATATCCCCATGAAGAATTTGACAGCTCTGTTAATTAATATGTTGCAAACTTTTGCAGCCTTCTGTTCACACTAATTATAATTACCTGAATTTCATCAGCCATAAAACTGAGCTAAGATATTAGGGATCTTAGATGATTCCATAAATCAGTATAAAATACATACTAATAATTACTTTTTTTTCCAGATCTTCCTACGACTTCTTATCACCATTTCCTTTTCCAACCACATAATAAAAATTTTTTAGTTTGTATATCTATTAACGGACAGCCACAAACACCCTTAAATCTGTTATCTGATCCAGAGAAAGGTATGTGATTTCTATAAAAAAAATGTGTAGCTCTGAATATTCAAAGTTCTATGGGGATGTTTTCCTTGGGACAGCCTAAAAGAAACAACTATTCTTCTTTTCTAATCCTTGTTTTTGTTGACTGTACTTTTCATCTCATTTCACACAAATGCACTGTAACTCTTATTCCAATACTTATATGTGGGTGTGCTTACTTTTCTTAGTTCCCAAATTCACGGATTATTTGTGATATTTATTTTAAATCTTGGGGATTTCTATTCACTCTTTATCAATTGTCTTGTCTTATATGGCTACACAGATATAAAAAATATTTAGCAGCATTGGCATGATGGATTGCTTGCCTGAAAGGTTGGCTATCTGGACAAAAACAGATGTTGTAATTATTTGTGTAGTGTGACTAAGCCATCTTCAAATAAGCTTGACTGTTGGTGAAATTCATAGACATGTTCTCATACATTCTTCCAGGAGGTAGATGTAGATATACTAGATATAGATGTAGATGTAGAAAGTTCTATGTTTAGCCAGTAATCTTGGGGTTTTGTGGCAGCCTCCCATCCAAATCCTAAATGGGTTAAACTCATCTTAGCTTTTGAGTCTAAATAAATTGAGCAGGGGAGCACACTGCAGACAACTGAATTGGCAAGCAGATTAAGCCAAAAGCATTCTTGTGAGATTCAGATATTTTTACTCATTGCATTTATGTGGTAATTATTTCTGTACTAATGAATGTTAGGCAAACATGAATATGTTTCTGAGTGTTCCTTTACATACTTCCAGGGATCGAAGTGACTGGCAAGCTTGGTGAAAACAACCATTTTACAGAGTTTGAAATAACTTATCCAAAGCTTAACCTGGAAATAAAGGTGTCAACAGAAAAAATTACATTGAAAAGTAACGACTCCAGTCACTCTTTTGTGTGGAATGACAGAGAATCTTTAACAAAGGAAGGGTAAACTTGCTATTTTCAGTTTTCTTTTATAGACAACAGAGCTCTCCAATCTCTAAAACATAAGTCTATTTTTGTGTAATCTGTCAGACTGAAAGGTGTTCTTTCTTTTTCCAAGAGACAGTGTACAGCAGTTAAAAACTGCTTGAATGTTGCTTGAATGGGCATTTTTTCCTTTCTGTATGGCCATTGTGTTGAAATATACTATATAAATTACTTCAGGTACATACACAAGGGATTTATAATAATAAAAAAAATGTGAAAATATTCATTTAAATATGTTTTAAAATTGTGTTTGTCAATAACAGTAATTTGAGTGATAATAAATTACTGTATCAGCATGAAAAGTTGTCAAAGGAATATTAGAAAATAATAGTTTGTTTCCTCTTAGGCTAAACATTACACTGACAAGTGGAGAAAGTCTCTTTCTGTCAGGACCAGACAACATTGTAACCAAAATTTTCTATGTACCTCCTCCACTTGGTCGGCTTGGATTATACTTTGAGAATAGCGATTCTTTTTCTAATCAAGTTACTGGACTCTTCGGTAAGTATTTAACTACTGCTGCAGACAGGGACATGCAGTCAGGGGAGGCAGGGGAGGAAGAGCCTCACCACTGTCATCATAAAAAGAAAAAAATGTAAAAGGAAAAAGGAAAGAGCTGAGGTCAGGCTGAGCTAGTTGCTGGCAGAGTCACCATGGATGACTCTGCTTAATGCTTAACTGTTTAAAAAAGCCTCTAAAAAAGCGCCTTCTATAGGAGAAGGCAGGAGAATGACGTGCCTCACCTAGTCTGACTTTAGGTGTTTTATGATCACTTGAGCAGAATTAAGCAAAGGTTAAAAGCCTAAAAATTCCTAAAGTAGGTGAGGCACATCATTCTCCTGCCTTCTCCTATAGAAGGCGCTTTTTTAGAGGCTTTTTTAAACAG